ATCAGGCCTCCAAAGGGACAGGAAGAGGGTAGCTCTGGGCATCTCTGAAGCAGGAATTGATGGACACTTTTTGTAGCAGCTAATCGCTGGAATGATTTAGTTCCATGTTTTTTTTTTTTTTTTTTTAAATCTTTGTTAGAGTTCTCACTGAGTTCATCTACACTTCCCCTAAGTTCATTGAGCATATTTATAATCAGTGTTTTGAACTCTGCATCTGGTAGATTGCTTGACTCCTTTTTTCCTGGAGCTCTGTTCTGTTCTTTCATATTGAACATATTTCTTTGTCTCTCCATTTTAGGCGTCTTTCTGTGTCTGTTTCTATGTACTAAGCAAAGCTCTTAAGTCTCCCGGTCATATTAGTGTGGCTTTGTGTAGTAGGTGTCCAGTGGCACAGTCATGAGAGGGGTCCAGCTGTGGATCAGGTTTAGCCCCAGCCTGTGCTTCTCTAGGACCACCTGTTAAGATTCAGCAAGCAATCCACAGATGCTGTGCTTATAGTTGCCTCAAGAGGCTACACCAGAAACCGAGGCCAGGCACCACCAGTGTGGGGCTTGGAGCTGCTCAGCAAGGGGCACAAGACGCACTGAGGACACCACTGGATGTGGGTTGGTCAAGGCCACGAGTTAGGAGAGGCAGAGTTTCAGGGAATCCTCTGGGTGGCACAGCCTCTGTTATTCAGTTTGATGACGTCTCAGCTATGGTGTTGCTGCATCTACATACTGGGAGGGTGGAGGGCTCAACAGAGGAACAACTGATACTGTCAGCACTTCTGCCTGGGAAAAAGCCTTGCCTCTAGCCCTCACTCTGACAACTCAGTGTCCCTCTGTAAGTCCCCGGCACCGCCCAAGCAGCTGACCAGGCGCTGGTGCTCAGAGCGAGCAAGTCTGTCACTGTGAAAGTCCAGTTGTGGCCCCTTTTAAGAGGAGCAACTGTACCTGCCAGCTGCAGCTGCCGTAGTTTCTGTCTCAGCAGCGTGGGACCGAGCAGCCTTGTGTCTTCACCCTCTCCTACCTCCTACCATTGCACGGTGATTTCTTATTTCTCTCTCAAGTTGTAGGGCTTCTGTTCATCCAGTCCCCAGGCAACTCTGCTTGCTCTTTGCTCTGTCGTTCCATCACAACTACTGGTGTGGTCGCAAGAGATTTACAAAGCCTCTACCATCTATGCCATCTTGCCTTCTCTCTCTGTTGAGACTCTTTATTATGAATTAGATTTTGTCAAATCCTTTTTCCGCATCTATTGAGATGATTGTGTGATTTAATCCTTTGTTCTATTAATATATATTATATTAATTGATTTTAGAATATTAAACCATTTGCATTCCTGGGTTGAATGCCACTTGCTCAGAGTGTATAATTCTTTTTATATGTTGCTGGATTCAGGATCAATCTGACTTTTAAAGGTATCCTGACTTTGGAAGAAATGCAGAAATTAGTCAAGTGAAGTGGTCTTTTTATAAAATCTTGATAGTTTTAATGATATTCTTAACAATTAGAAAATTCAAATATCATCTTTCATCATTAAGACCAATAACCCAAAAAATTCAAAACACTTCTATTGAGTATAATCTGTGTTTCGATTAATGATGTAGTGTGTTTTCAAACTATATGCATTCTTTTTATGTTATGCAAATATTTTATTCATCTGGATAAGGGTGATTCAATTCAATTTTGTGAAACTTATTCATTTTTTAGAGATATCTTTTGAGACCATTATTCATTTTATTTAATCACTACAATTATAGGCTCAAACTCTTATAAGCTTTCTGAAAGACAAAAACTAAAAAAAGGTCAAATTATGCAATTTTAATCTAGTTCTTGAACAGTGAACATTACAGATTCATCCCCATATTTGTCCTTTTCTTTCAAAATGAGTTTGAAAAGGTCATTCTCTTTTTTACAAGCTAGAAAGTATCCTTTGTACAATGAAGACTCAAATTGTATTTTATCCGTATGTCCTGGGACACTTCTCTTAAAGAATATGATGTCATTTCCTTCCTCATTAATATTATCAGGAGGATTCATTTCCTGTAGAGAAAAAAATTAACATTTTAGGACATGAATAATTTGAATATGTGTAGTCTATTTTGAAGTATACTATTGCACAGAACTAAAGTTTTTATTCTCAAGAGTTAAGAAAAAAAATATCTGAATGTCGGATTACTGATCTTCTCTCCCTCTTAATTCCTAATCTCATATTCTCCTTGCCCACTTTGGCTGTTCCCACCATGGAATGCACATTGAGGTTTAGGTCTCTAGTTTTTCCCAATATTAATAATAGTTTCCTTCTCTCTTCTCCTACCGAGTGGAGTCCATATCTGCTTAAGATGGAGTAGAATTACAGCAAAATCCACAACTTTTTGGGGCTAATGTCAGTTCCTGTCTTTTCCAACCATTTAGAGTTAAAGACATTGATGACCTTCACCCAAAGGCCTAGCTAGCTTAGCTTTAGTTTATGAGCCAACACGAAAGAGGCAGAAGTGGCAGGAATCTCAACTTCTTCCTTCCTAAAACTGAAACTTGGTATAAATGGAGCCACTGCAGCTGCTCTAAGGCTGGGTCCTGGGTTCCTGTATAGCCTTGCTATATTGGCTTAGTAAGCAGCCTTTGACTTTTCCCTGCCATATACTTCAGTTTCATAGTAGTCCTGAATTTCTATTCTGAAAGTCAGCAATTGGTTGGGCCCCACCCTAGAAGGCCAAATGCTGATTCTGTATCTTTCAGACACAGAATAGGGTTTTCTCAAGAATGGCTAGAACACTTGAAACTACAATCCTGCTGGTCCCCTAACTGACAGTACTGCCTACACTTTTATTATTGCATCATGCCTACTTTTCAAGATGGACTAGAAAATCTGAGGACTTCCCAAGGTTCTTTCTATGTTAATCCTGGAACCAGAAGGTTTGAACTTAATTTTGACCCCATGGTAGCAAAGATTCTCATGATCTAACTAAGGACTGACAGAGAGACCTCCAGATTCCAAATAGCAATCTAGCTTCTTCCTGAGATGCCTGAAGAAAGTTTGGGCACCTCCAAACTTCTCAGTCAATTATGGAATTTATTCCTAACTCTTAACCTTTGTCCTTTGTCAACAAATATGAGTCCTGAATTGATGACAGTATAAGATAGTTCCCCAACTGGCACGTATTTTTGCAGCTGTCTACAGTATCCCAGAATTTAGGAGGAGACCCTAAGCTGGGGGAGCCAATTTGGGACTAAGCTAAAGTCTAATGTATAAGTGAGAAATAATCCTTAGCCCAGACTTTAAAAGCTCTAGATATAGAAGGAGATGAACCTGTTTGTTCAAACCTAGCATAGAAAGTTATAGCTGAAAATGGAGGTGTGGATAGGTGGAATAGAGGATCTCTAATTCATAGTTCAATGTCATATTTCAGAATAAGAGCAAGGAAATCCTGGGGCAGTAGCTTTCCTTGCTTTTGGTGTTGACTCTTCACAGTCATCATTGGGAAGGTGCACAGCAAATGGATGTGGAAACAATCCCAGTGACCTTGGGTAACCCCCAACTTGGAAAATGCTACATGGTGAAACTTGACTGCTCCAAGGGCCTAAGGGATTCTTTACATCAGGAGGGGTTAAATGTGAACACAGGGAATGTTAAGCTTGACCTAACATCATTTTTTTTGGCCCCTTTGCAAGTGCATTAGCAAGTTTGAGAGAATCCTGATTATGCCTGGATGTATATACAAGAAATAGACACTAACAGTAACTTCTTGAAGAAATTCCTCTTGGTGTCATGAAGGTTTTTGCACAAAGAAAACAGGGTAACCATAAACACTAGGACTTTATAGCTAGTAACCAACACAGAAAGGTGAACACATAATGGCAGCCAGTTGTCTCTAATTATCTAGAACTTAATCTATATTTATAATCACTGTTAAGATCCTTATTAGTTGGGGAAAAACGGTTTAAAGAGCACAGGCTAAAACTAGCTCCCTTCTTTCTTCTTTCCTCCCTTTTCTTCTCCTTCCTCTTTCTCTCCAATTAATATTTTCTGAGTTTCTTTCAGAAGCAGATTTCCTATGAAGCTAACAAAGCTTAATGTCAGAGCCCCTCACTTATACAGATCTCTTCTAAAGACTCCTTCTTTTCTTATTCTAAATAAATCGTTAACTTTATGCCTTTGGTAATTTTATATGTTCATTTTTTTAATGGATCGCTCAAATTGTGTAAGTTTCAGACTCCACTAGACTTGAATTTGCCTCAATTTCTACTATATGTTAAGCATTATTTTTTTTTTAACACTCCTCAACCTCTCTCAATAATAATTCACTTATAGTAAGGGCTTATCCCAATTTCTGAATCTTCCTCTGCCCCTGAATTAGTTTTCCTCTACCCCACACAGATTGTGTTTGGCCATTTCCCTCCTTTCCTTCTGATTTCACTGCTAAGTAACAACACGCTTGGTCATCTTTACACTGCCTCTCCATCCCCAGGCCTCTAAGGCCATTATCATAACCAAGCTTCCTGATTGTTAGGTCAGAGAATGGGGACTCCAAATTGCCACCAGAAGGGGTGGCACTCCAGTTGGGAGGGGATGGCTAAGGGATTTATTTGGAGGCTTTATTTGTAGCACACACGTTGATTTTACTTGGACTGTAATTTTGAGTGGCTTTTTCCTTCCTCCCAAGTTGCCCCTTGGCATGTCCACTACGGTCTCACCCTAACCTTCAGTGGGAACTGGGTGCTCTTGACAGCAGTTCTTTACTGACAAATCCGCAATCAGAAAGTCTGTCAATTTGAAATTGTCAATTTGTGAGCATTCCCTGGCTGCTCTCATTGGGAGGAAAGTTTTCTGGGTCAATCTGTAGCTATAGTTAATGGATGTTTATCTAGTAAGAATGGAGCAAAAAAGAGAAAAATAATAATGATAAAAAATGGAGAATAAAGAAAAAAAGCTGTGGCCAGAAACAATTTATACCTGGCTTTAAGATACATTATATCATTGCTTTTACAGTTTATCTGATTTTGTTAATTTTATTCACTTAGAGTTACATTAAAAAATAACATATATTGACTTAAAGCTAAAGAATGTAGCCAAGAAGCAGGAATAAAACAATTAGGGATTAAAATATTATCATTATATTTGACCAAATATGTAGAGGGATTACAGAGGATAATTAGTTTCATTCTGTGCAGCAGGACTTATTTTGGAAAGTCACATGCAATTCTTAAATAAATATGATCATCCACACATGAGTTCTACATTATTATTTATCTATAGATTGATTATTCAGAAGACCCGGGTTATGAAACATAGTTGTATCCCTTCCTCCCTTTGGCAGGCTCAGAAAAAGCATGACGTTACTGCAGTAGGTTCAAGAGTTGGACAATTTTTAGTAACTATCTATTTTAATGGATCTCTGCTTCTTACCATTCTTGTTCTAGACAAAAGGTTGGATTAAGGATGTTTAGGTTTCCTAATTTTCCACATAAATATGACTAAAACAAATTCAGGTTCAGTCTTACCTTAAAGGAAATAATTTTGTTGTCACAGGAGAGAGTAGAAATTTTATTACACTTCACACAGATGGCTACCGCCAGACCTCTAGTGAGGCTGTCTTTATACATATATATGATAAATTCGGTCTGGGGTGCATTATCTGAAATAAACATTAATAAATGAGAATCCTAGTTAGAAGAATTTTTGTAAATCAGTGTTTATGGAAATCAGTGAAAGATTGATCCTTAATAAAGCTGTTACCAATCCCACATTGAGATTCAGCCAGTTAGTAGACTATACACAGCTGCTCACACATTCTTTAAAACATGTTCATATATGTATTACAACACAAGTGTAGCAACTTTTTGAGTGTTTGAGATATTCTGAATTCTAAAAGATTGTCTTTAACTTTTAAATGCTAAGTTCTATATTAAAAATCTGTTAAGGTAAAAATTCAGTATTTTTCAAGAGCTTACTGTTTCAACTCTGCCTAAACTATTTGAATTCATACCTTGGAAGTCACAGTAAAATTATTCATTTTCTTTCTTTCTTTTTTTTTTAATTATTCATTTTCTAAGGCACTCTAAATTTCTGGTGCAAGACAGACTTCTTTGAAATACTTGTGTATTTAATTTTAATTTTGAGTTTTGAAAATGCTATCAGCAATTTCAGGTATTAAGGATCCAATTCTACCTTTATTGTGTCAATTTTTCACCCCAACTGAAAAATATGGATACCCTATAAAGTTTCTTATAAGTGAAATTATTATTCCTCCCATGACTTCATTTAAGGACTAGGTCTATCATAGAAAAATGTAGGCAGTAAAATGTAATAAGAAATAGCTTCTCATTTTTATGTTTACAAACATATTTAAAAATACCTGTACAGTCAGAATCAGGCATATCTTCAAACACAGCTGTGTTTCCCTCGTAAATGAAGAGAACTTGGTTATTCAAATTTCGTATGATCGAGAATCTAGGTTCGAGCTTGCCAAAGTAATCTGATTCCAGGTTTTCTACAATACACATTAAATCTCATTAAAAAATAAGTTTTTTTCTAAATTTACAAATAGGTATAGTATATATTTCATTTTTCAGTAACTATTAATCACAATCTTCTGCTATAGAAGCAGCTAAGATAAAGTTGCACAATGTTTTTTAATCCACTTCCAAGGGCACACTGTTTCTTATTATCACTTAGAACTATTCTATCTCTGAAATCTTAAATTCAAATATCCTGTTTTTTCATCACAATCTCCTATTCTTCGAGATTTTAAAAAATACTTTTCCTCTACTTCACTGAGTCCTCCTGACTCTTGCATTTCCTATCTAACCTCTTCCTATGTTCCCTTTCCTTCTTTATGCAGCCTGGACCTTTTGCCAGTATCTTCAATCCTGAATTCATTTGTCTTTCTACTACAGAAGTCCAAAACTGGCTGCTGAGTGCAATTATACAAATGTGCAAATTGGTGCCATTACAAACATGTTAATTGTCAATACTTTTTTTTTTTTTTTTACAGTTCAGCATCATCTTCCATAGTCCATAGCTGCAGTTTCAAACCTTCACTCTCCTCAGGATCTCTACATCATTACTTCTGATTACGCTTTCAGCAAATGATTTTCTGCTACTTCACTTACAAACTTAAGTGGCACCACCAGTTATTTCCTCTATCCCTCTTGTCCCAAGAGAAAGTGTATAAAAGGTGCCCCTTCTGGTAACTAAGGCTAACCTTATCTGTGCTCTGATGTACTTTCTCCTGAAACCTTGATTTACCAATCATCTTCTCTTCTATCAATCCACAATTATATTTCCTCAATTTTACCCTAAAGAAACAATCACACAAATGCGTAAATATTTCTCTATAAGAATACTTATGAAAGCACTGTTAATAACAAACTAGAAAAATTTAACTGCCCATCTATTGGGGATTGAGCAAATAAATTCTGATATGCCCTTACTATGGATATCATGAATTTAATAGAACTGTGATTATTCATTGCCGTGGAAGGATGTCTGTGTGTATTAAACTAGAAAAAGAAGCTTAGGTATAGTATAATATATATTGAAAGAAGTATAAAAAATTGCATTGAAATGATAGCAATGGTTATTTCTAGGTTAGTTTCGTGTTTCTTTTTCTTCATGTTCTTATCTTCATTGCCCAAGTTATTTATAACAAACACATGATTTTTGTAATCAGAAAAACATAAAGCTCTTTTCATTTTGTGATTTGAAATTCCTCCATCAACCATATCCTACTCTGTAGCTACCCTTGTTTCTCTCCTCCTTCTAATAGCTGAGCTTCTGGCAAGAATTGTCTGTATCATTCCCTTACTTTCCATTCACTCTTCTACTCATTGCAATTTGCCTTTGCCATTTCTCCATCATACTGCTTTTGCCGAGATCACTAAACTCCCTATTGCTAAATGCAATAGGTGCTTTCCTGCCTTTGATTTTTAAGGCTGCAAAATTCAACACAGTGCCTAGTACCTCCATCTTAAAAAAGTTTCTCCCGGGATTCAGTGGCATTTTCTTGGTTTTTCTTCTTTGGTTACTTTGCTCTGTTCTTTATTAGCTTCTCTTTCTACTGAATCCTTTAATGTAGGTATTCCTTAGAGTTTAGTTCTTGGCTGTTACTTTCTCACTCTACACATTTCCCGATTTGTCTTTTTATTCCTATAGCTTCAGATATCATTACTGTGCATAAGCCTCCTACATCTATATCTCCAGCTCAAATTTTCATCTTAAGCTCAGAACCATATGTCCAAGAGTCTACTGGACTTTTCCACTAGATGTCTCACAGACAAGAGACAAACTAAATTCATCATCTATCATCCTCTTTGCCCTGTATACCTGTGTTTCCTGTTTCACCAAATGGTACAAATTGCCTAAGTGAGAAAATGTGGGCATCATCTCTTCTGTCTTTCTCTCTATCCCCTTCCAAATCCAACACCAAACCATGTCTCATTGATTTTTCCAAGTATTTAAAAAATCTATTCACAGCTCTTCATAGGTACCCTGTTGTGCCTACCTTAATTCATGGCACCATCATTTCTCATAGAGACTACAATAGCCTCTTAATTGGCATCTCTCATTTTTTTTTTGTCTCCACATTAATTCTTTATACTGAAGCCAGAAGAAATTAAAATTCAATTTTAATTAAAGTTAAAATTCAGAGATATGATCATTTTTTCTCTAAATTTTAACGAGGCACATGGGCACCCAGGATAAAGATTCTGTTTTTCAGATTTCCTTGCAGTTGGTGTGGCCAAATTCTGGTCAATAGAATATGAATGGATTTGATGTGTGCAACTTTTACACAGAGCCTTGAAAAGGAATGGGCCTGTCTTCCTCTTATTTTGAACCCTTTCTTGCTACCTGGGACATGGACGCAGGAAGTGTGATGATGATTTTCAAGTGTGATGATGAATGAATTCAACAACTAGGGGGTGATGGAATACTAAGACAGAAGAAACTTGAGATCCCAACATCATCAGGCTGCATCCCACCATAGTAATCTTGAACTGCCTACTTAGCCCTGTATTTGAGAAAAACATTTTCTTATTCGGTCACTATATTTTCAGATCTCTTTGTTGCAGCAAACTAATCTGTATCCTAGATCATATATTTTGTGTTTAATGAACCCCCCATTACTCCAAAGGTTAAGGTCCAAATTCCACATCTTGTTATAAGAGAAACTTCTTGATCTGCACCCTTATTCTTCTCTCATCATTCTGCTACTCTCACCCTTCTCCCATTCTGAAGTGCTCTTAATTCCTCATACATGCCAGGGTCTCCTTCACACCTTGGCCTTTGCATGTGGTCTTCTTTCTGCCGAGAATATCTCCTCTTGGCTAACTCCTATTCACTCTTCAAATATGAAGGCACTCCTTCAAAGTGCCTTCCCAGAATGTAGTGGACTGAATTACATATCTGTTCTATGTGCTCCCATAGCATCCTGTGCCTTAACATAACCATATTCCAATTACCTTCCTTATGTGCCTGCTTCTCCCTAGAGGAACTGTGTCCTAGTGCCTAACAATGCCTGTGATATATAGATGCCAGAATAGATTAATCAATAGAGAGTTGGGCAATCTTTAAGAAATATGAGGGGTTACATGTCAATTATATCTCAATAAACTGGAAAAAAGAAACATGAAGGAACAGTATTTTTTAAAAAGTTGTTGTTTTCTATTTTTAAGCCACTAAGAATCACCTTAAGAATGGGGAGAGTGCTTTTTTTATGGAAAGGTATGAGAAACTAATGACCTTTAATAATCTGGATATCAGTTAAGAGTATCACAGGCTATATATGGGTATGACCCTCCCTGAATGTCAGAAGGACCAGGGCTGTGTACATCCACTTCTTGAAAAGACTTAATGACTTAACCACATATTTCTGCTTGCTCCAACCTCTCTCATCTCCTCTACTTTGAGAAATTTTCTTTCCCTGGGAGCCTCCCCCACTTCTTCCCAAAGTATTTCTAAGAGAGAGGTTTGAAGAAGAAAGATGTACTTGATTATGGACAGCAATTCTCATGCTTCAATCCCCTTTTCCTATGTACTCTAGAGAATGCGTGACTTCCTGCTAATCTCAGAAACTGTAACAGGCAAGGTCTGTTTTGTAGATTCTAAGAACTGGAGGATTTCCTCAAGCGTAGAGAAGCAATTTTGTTTGAGGTTCTTTTTTTTTATCCCTTATGGTCATCTTTACCCTATGGCTGTGCTATTGGGTCCACATTTCTTTGAGAGAAGATTAACTTATCGGATGGATTGGCGCCAGCTTCTCTCAGCTGAGAATGGTGATAGGGATGTGTCCGTGGAATGCTTACTCAAGTAGCTATTTTACTTTTGCAAAGAAAGAGAAATAAATTTATACTTTACCATCATTTTCAGCTGAAAGGAAAAAAAGAGAAAGAAAATAGGTTAAATTCTACCTTTCGACTCAGAATCTCCTCTCATCCTACTCTTTCGATACTCTTTTCTGTCACTCTCCATTATTTAACCCCTGCTTACTGGTGATGGCCTTTGTCGGCCTCCATTAAAAATATTATATAATCATCCAAAAGGTCCCATAAAATGAAGCTCATCAGACTTAGTGTGTTCTCAGATAAGTTAGATATAAAGCCTAAATCCAGGGTTTATAAATATAAATTTGTAGCTAAAATAAATTTATAAAGTGATAGATTTTACTCTTAAATTTATTGCTTCAGTGGAAGGTCACTTTCTATGAAGATTTCAATTGAGGCCAAACTGCCCATGGAGATTAATCATAAGAAATCTGTTTTCATTTGTAAAATATATTTACATTAAATGGTATAAATCGTTCACAGAACTCTAGATTTAGGGTATCTCACATAATTCGCCAATTTGCTTTGGGAAATTGTATTCGCCGAATGTACACAATTTTGTGGAATTTTCATGATGTACACCTGCTCCCACCTTGTAGGTGGGCTAACTAAAGTGACATGACATGTAGTGGGAAAAGGGGCTGGGACCTTGGATATACTATGGTTAATTCCTAGAGGCCCAATAATTTTTTCTAGAGAAGAATGCCATTAGCATTACAATGGAATTTTGTGACAATAAGGAGTCACTTAACAGTTCATCTCACAACATCTTTTCTAGCTGAATACATTTATCTGAGCCCTGTATTTGGCCTATTGCTTTAGACTTACCTACAAAGTAAAGTGTATTGTCAATAAATTTCATTTCCACAAAGCTGATGCAATTGTCTTCTACTGGTTCGGCAGCCATCTTTATTCCTAATGAAGGCAAAGAGTCATCTGTTAAAAGGTAATGATTGTTCCTTTTACACAAAAGGAATCTTTTACTCCTTACTGCCTTGTACTGCCTTTATACTCAAAAGTCAGCATATCACCCAGTGTGCTGACGAACACTCTGGACATTTAATAAATGCCGGGTGTCTTCAGCTTATGAATACACATGTTCAAGCGTTCTTTTGCAAATCATCAGATATCTGAAACTTAGAAAGCATTTTCTCATTAAACAATGTTACAAAGGGTGGATAAATGGCCCATTTTGAACTGAATTAATTATATTATCAACATGAGATTCCAGAAACACACCTAAATCATGTCCTTTAACTATAGATGGTTCTATCTGTCTTAAAACCAGTGGGTTCCTGTGTGTGAGAGACTGAAAGTTTGTGACTGCATTATCTAAGTGCTAAAGTTGAGGAAATGATCAAAATGGTGTTTCTACCTGGGAGCTGGGCAGAGTGGATGGAGGCTGAAGGGCTCGAGCATATGATGGCTCTCTTTCTCCCTGAGCAGCAGCAGTTTTTGACCTAGGTACCAGATGTTTTGTTTTTTACACAAGTAATACATAAATGCAATCTTTTTGTAAAAAAGAATTAAATACAGGATTCAAAATTGTTAAAAAGTTGTTTTTCCCTTTTCTTCTGCCCTAGCCTACCCTGCTCCACTCTAATATGGTGTGTATCTTTCTAGACCTTTGCCTAAGAAGCAGGGGTTCTAAATCTGGAAAGTCTGTGAACTTGGATGGGAAAAAAGTTACATATTTATTTTGACCAACTTCTAACTGAAATTTAGCAGTTCTTTCCATTATGGTATAGGAAATAGAACACAGTATTATTAGCAGTACCTGTAACTGTCACTGATAGTAATACATATTTCCTATTGTGTAATAATTATTGCAGAGATCTTGAAATATTGTTTAAACTCATTACTACTTTGAAACGTGTGGAAGTTATTAGTCTCACCAGTATATCTTGTTATTTAATGTGTTAATAAAGAAGCACATATATATCAAAATTTATTTAAAAATTTTTTGACAATTCTATCTTAATACAATGTGTTTTTTCATAATCCAAAGTATTTAATTTTATGCATGTAAAAACATTCTGAGAAAGGATCTACAGATGTCACTACATTGCCCATGGGTGAGTCTATGCCACAGAAAAGATTAAGAGGCTCTACTCTGCGGTTCAGTAGTACTTTGGATCCCTGAGGGCAGTTATGGTTGGGGCTCCAAGGAATGTAGTTGTCACTGTTATATATAGGGGTATTTATAAGTCTATGCTCATAGGTAGAAAACTGACTCAAATTTTTTCTAGCATAGTGCCAAGGCCAAACATATATGGTAGGGGAAGCAGGAAATTAAAACCCAGTTGCAAAAACTTAATCCAAATTAAGCTAATCCAAAATACTTTTTAGTTGGTGGCTAAGTTTACCTAGCCACCAGTTTTACCTAGGTTTGGTCCCCTACGCACATACAAATATGGATAGTTATTAAATTATACACACACACACACACACATATATCAATTGGTGAAATAATGGTTAGGGTAGTTTTCTCTACAAACTTTAATATTGTGTAATGCACACATATTTTGATGAAAGTAATTCACCTGAAAAGTACTATGTAGTGTGCGTAGGAATTGGATGAAATTACTAGTGTTTACTACAGTAAGTAGTTAGTCAATGAGTGAATGGATTTAGAGAAAGATACAGTTACCTTAAAAAACAATAATACTACACAATATTTGAATTCATTCATTTATTATCAACTATGTATTAGGCACAGGGCTAGAAAGCTGACAAAACACACATGCATGAGACTTAGTTCTTACCCACCAATTAGTCAGAGTATAGTGGGAGAGACGAATATATAAACAATTACAAAATGGTATAATGAATGTTGTAAGAACTGGATTTACAAGAGATAAATGGCGGTGGCGAAGAAGGCTTCTCAAAGGAAGTGATGATTGTGCTGCCTTGAAAGAGAGGCAGGCATTTTCAAGGCTAGGGAAGAGCATTCCACAAAGAGGGAACAATGTGAGTGGAAGCCAGGAAGCAGGGCAGCTGAGAGAACATGGCTTGTTTGAAGCCTCGTCATTTTTACTGTAATTAATACAAATGCAGTCACATTTTATTTTTTTAAATGCCAGTTTATTTTTTTTCATACTATATATACATATTTTTTAACATTTTATTTTTTTTATTCCCCCCCCACTCCCTCCTCCCATCAAATGCAGTCATTTTATAGGAAGAATGCATTTCTGAAGATCTCACATAGTTTAAGATTAAATTTCCCTTGGGAATAAATATAAAAGCATGTGAGGAGACATCTTTGGAGTTCACAAATCTATAACAATCAAAGCGTATTCTTGCTTTCTCATTTTTCAGCTTTCTCAGCATTATTATTAAAGTTTTGCAGAATGCTCTCTCTACACAACCTATCATGGTGGTACTTTGGCTTTTTTAATATTGTTTTCTTGCATCTAAATTTTGTTTATCTTTCTTTAGAGATGTTTTTCAGTACGAGCAGTAATCATATCCTTTAGCATTTCGATAGCATTGCTATCATATATGAAAATATTTTAAATTATAATAGGAGTGTATATTAAAAAATTAATAGCACAGCAATAACCTGTATGTCTCAAGAATTTCTGAGGTATTTAAAGAATAGCCTCGCTTATGTAATACTGACCTGGAAGTAGATCATTCTACCAGGTATAAGAGATGCTTCCATGTGGCAATAGTGTTAACAGTGGGCAACTCACTTGGCCTACCAGCTTTGAAACTATGTCATTTTAGATGAGTTAATTTAGAGTTCACATATTTCCATTTTGCCTATAGAGTGAGACTATTTTTTTTTATATTACATTTGTTTGATTTTGCCTACTTCAAGTCACATAAAATGTAACTTGCAATGTAGTTTTGTTTAACAAAAGTTTGGAAAAGAGAGTCAGATTATAAAGGCCTTGTTTAAGTAGGCTAAGGAGTTTGAAATATTTCTTTGAAAAAATATTGTCTTACTTTAAGTAGGAGAAAGATGTGGTCAAATTTATATTTTATCTTTTTATTTTTTAATTCAACTTATGGGGTAACATTGATTAATAAAATTATATAGGTTTCCAGGATAAAGTTCAATAATACATCATTTGTATATCACATTGTATGTTCACTACCTATTTATATTTTTAAAAAGTGCACTCTGGCAGCACGGTAGAGTGGATTTGATGGGCAGACAGGACAGAGGTCAGAAAACAACCTTACAAGGAAGTTTAATAGTTAAGTAAGAGTTGATGAGGCTAAATACACTAAGGTAGCAGCTGCAGGGATTCAAGAGAGATGTTTTAGCTGATTGGTTTGGGGTTAAAAAGAACAAGGAGGAACTGAGGATGACTTAGAAGTTTCTAGTTTGGGTAATTTGTTGAGTGTTACCTCATTAACTAAGAAAGAGAATGAAGGAAAAGCTCCAGTGGAAAATAATTAGTCCAGTTTTGCAAATCTAAGAGAGAAGTGTCACGGATGTCAAGGGAGAAAGGAGCTTCAAGGAGAGGCTGCTTGAAATCAGATATTGCAGAGCCCAGAACTTAGATACAAGCTCAAACTTGTTCTTTGAATTTGATAATTAGGAAGTTTTGGTAGGAGTAGAACAGTTTGGGGAAAGTGGAGATAGCAGAAGGCAGGTTGACGAAGATCTAGGACAGAATGGGATGGGAAAAAGTAAAGACAATGAATACAAACTATTCTTTTAGAAGTCTGGCTATAAGGTGAAGAGAGAAGGTGGTAGTTATTGGGGCATATATAACTTGCACATTTCAATTTCTGGCTTCAGATCCACAGTTCCATCTGTAAGATATATTAATGAATTACTTTCCCAAACATGTCCAAACAGCCCGTGCAAAACTGAAAACTAGAAGTCCTTGGCTCCTTTACCTAACCTATTCTCTGTCTCATAAATACTGTAGATTATAACTCACAAATGTCTTCCTAGTTTGGTTTCACCTCTCCATCTCTACCAGCACTGTTTTAAATCAAGCCCTCATCACTTCAGGCATCTTCTACTTGAATGCTCCTCTTGGTTTTCTTGCTTCCACATTCTCCCCCGCACTCCACACTGTTGCCAGAGTTATTCCTCCTGCTAGGCCAGAAGTTCTCCCGCCTTTTTTTTTTTCCTAGCAAGTCCTTCTTCATCCTTTAAGTCCCAACTCAAACATCTCCTCTAGGAAGACTTCTCTGCCTCCTCCATTCCTAGCTAATCATTCTCTTCTCAGTATCCATCCACCTCCCTCCTTCACTCGTCTGAAATAGCTCTTACATTGAATTAGATGATAAATAGGTCTGCCCAGCTTCAACATGAGTTTCTTTAAGACGAATTGTCCTTTTTTAAAAAAATTAAAGTTAAATTCTCAACACCGGAAAGAATTTATACACAGTAACTGAATAAATGTTTGCTACGATAAAAGTTTTCCCCATTACAATGATGTGTAAAGGCCTGGTAGATTTTTTTTCTGTCTTAAAGCTTTTACTCCATCTTAAAGCCGATGAGAAAAAGAAAAAAATGAGGAAAGTCTGAAAACAGATTTTAGAAAATAAAATATTTTCTATAATATTCTTCCTCTTTTCTCCTAGTTTCTTTTTTTACTTCATGTAAGGTTTTATTTTGAATTCTTTATTCTCTTACTAGTTTTTGGGGGTCAATGTATGTTTAATTCATATTGTGGATGAAAAAAAGGACTCTTACCACTCTTTTTGTTAGATCTCAATACATCTATAATATAGTTACTAGTATTGTGTCCCCATCCTCTCCTCACCCCAATTTTCCTTTTTCTTTCTCATCTGTGTTCCTTTGTTTTCTTAACTATAATCTATGAAAATTATAGTTCCTATTGGATAAAAATGCTTAAAAATATTTTATCTAAGATTCTCAGATTATTGACTTTTTTTAAAGGGTTAGAAATCACCTCAGAAAGATCCTTTCAGGAATATGCAGTGACAATTAGTTCTTCGGAAAAAAAAAAGTTTTAGTTATATAAGCCTTTGAAACTTCCTGGAGGCTAGTAGATGGTAGAAAATTATGACAGAAATTAGGCCACGTGTGTTCCAGTCTTGTCTAGGGCTAGTCATTTAATTCTGAGGGTCTCAGTTTCCTTGTTTGGATAAGCAGAGAGTTGAATGGTCAATTTTTAAGATCTTTTCCAGCTCCAACTTTCTGTAATTCTAGATTCTAGATAAGGGTGCAAGGAGAGGACTATTTGTGGCAAATGCCCTATAACAATTTCCTCATAATTCTAAAATAACATGCATTGATTGAATACTTATTATATAGCCAGCATTGTTAAGCTAGTAGGAGTTTAAAAACATACTATTAGATTAAAAGTAAAAATGCCTCGAACTTGAAAAACAACTATCATGTTCATCCTTGCTGTGGAATTCCAATTCTGTGGAATAGTATGGGATGAAATGAGGAAAGGTATTACCTAACTAATTCCCTACAGATATGTAATCATCTTGACAGCCACAAGATCAAAACCTAAATTTTCAGTTCTATAAATCATTTTGTCCTTGAAAATTTTGCCATCTTATTAATGTATGTATGTTTATGTGGCAGAGGTGGGGGTGGAAGACAACTTAGATAAAAATTTAGGTAAATAATGAATGATAAAAGATATATATATATATAATAAACTGCTAAGTACAGACTCAAAGCAAAAAGGCAGAATGGAACTGATGTAGTTGGAATTGCTTTGTCTGAAAAGGAAAATTGAATTTAATTTTAAAGAATGCTTAAGATTTAAATAGATGGAAGAGCACTTATAATTAAATTAAAACCTTGTGGTGGGAGGTGGACTGAATGGGGCCTTTTTTTTTTAACATAGCGGAACAATCCAACTTCCCTGCAGTAAACACAAGGTAGGGTGGGGTTAAATTATGGAAGGCTTTGGAAGTCATGTAAATATATTTGAATTTAATCTCACATGCAATAGAAAAGTGGGTTATTGAGCTGGTAAGTGCTTTATGAAAAAGATTACAGACACACTATGAAACTATGATAAGAATTCATGTAGGAATTCAGGTAAGAATTCATAATATTCATGTAGGGATTGTACAAACAAGCCAGATTAAATAAGATATTTTGAAGGAAGTCTTACTAGAACTTGAAATAGCTGGATATAGGCAAAAGAAAAGATTTTAAGGGTGTTCTAATTTTTTATTCATACTTCAAAACAGATATTTATTCAGCCCCTTCCTCCTTGTGAAATAAAATTCTCCTGGAGAATGCTATAATATTGTTCAACTATAGCACAGCCTAAGGATGCCGATGCAGATTCCGTCAAGATTATCAACCTTCGGCAATTTTTTTGTTTGCTTTTAAAATGATTGAGTTGAGACTTCATTTAAAGAAAAGCTTATTTATTTTAGCATTCTAAACCAGTGATTCTCAGGGGGTTCACAAGGTCAAAGCTGTTTTCATAATATTTCTAAGATGTAATTTGTCTTTTTCATTCTCATTTTCTCACATTGTACAATAGAGTTTACCAGAGGCTACCTCTGTACCATATTATATAGACTGAATCAGAAGCAGATGAGAATGCAGCTGTCTTTTATTAAGCTAGACATTAAAGAGATTTGTAAAAATTAAAAACAATGTCACTTTTCACAGATTTTTTGGGAATATAGTTATCGATAATTAAAAGTGTTACTTATGCAAACATGTGAAGTGCTTATTGTTTTTAAAAATAAAATAGGTCACTATTTTTTAAATTTCTCAGTTTTAATTTTTAATGTAGTAAAATGACAATAATATAGCAAATAAGCTAGAGAAACAAAAATTCTTCTGGGTTCCCAATAATTTTTAGGAATGTACAGAAGTCATGAGACCAAAAAGTTTGAGAATATTTACTCGAAACTGGTTCTATACAATGTTGGCTAAAAGGAAAAAAAGTTTCTACTCTGACTTTGCTGTGTTACTTATGTTGTTACTGACTGCCCATCATACTGATGTCAGATAACTTAAATTCCTCTCAATTGCTTTTCTAGTTTATTACTCTGGTTTCCAAATAAAAAGGAATGATTTCTTACCTGTGCTCAATAGTTTCCTAGGAGAGAAAGCGATTTGGGAGGTTTGAGGTCCCTTTCTTTTCCTGAGGCTGTGTAGGTGGTAGAAGATAGCAGCCTCTTCAGCAGCAGAAGCAGGCACGCAGGAATGAATGAATCGAACTCCTTGCTGCTAGTCCCGGATCCAGCAGCCGTTTGCAGAGCAGGGAGGTCAAGCAATAGAGAGGAATGAGGAAGAAGGTTGGAGGGAGGAGACTGTTCTGACACGCCTTGGACCCGCCTTCAAACATGGGCTCTTTGGGAAACAGAACTTGAAATGAATTGTCAGAGAATATAGGTATTTTTTAAACGTAAAATCACGATTTTAATGAAATCATTTCTAATGTAAAAGCTGGAGTTCTGACCATGCAAAGTTTGTACCTCTTTCAGAAGTAGATTCTAGCAACTTAAAAAAAAAAAAGAAGACACCTGCTTGGTCAATTAGAAGCATCTTTCTCACATTAACCTTTTTGAGACTTTCCGCTCACACTTGAGCACAAAACTTTCTTATTCAACAATGCTTAATAATTAGCGCTATTAGAATAATTCCTAATCATAACACCTAAAATGCTTGTAAAACTTTTTAAAAGTAGAGTATAAATCTCACAGCCTTGAAAATAATTAGCAGAAACAAAGTTTCTTAGACAAGTTCCTCTTGAACATGTGCTAAATTGTATTATCTTGCTAGCAAGGGAATTAGCAAGGAGATGTTTTGCTTTTGCTTTTTTGCCAGTACAGAGACTGTACTGGAAACAGAGAGGTTCTAGAGTCAGGAAACAAAATGCTTACTTAAGCAGCCAGTTGATTTTTTTTTTTAACAAGATACTATTTTCATTTAATTAGGTCATAAAAATGTCATGTGTCCACAGTAGTGGTTACACAGGCAGTCAATAGTAGAATAGTTGAAAGTGCTTGGTGTGGTGGCTATCAGAAGAAAAAAAATAGCACATTTAAGAAGTATATGATAAGAATACACACGATTGAAATTGAAAGAACAAGTTTTTCTCTAGTTGTAGTGTCTAATTGGGCCAATTAACGTGAAAGCATGAAGTGCAGTCATACAGTGATCAGTAGCAGAGCACCAAAGAATGTAATTTTAAATGCTTATTGCCAATTACTTTTCTCCAGCTATAAAGATGTAGAATGGATAATTTAACTCATTTCTTAAATTTGGAACAAACATTTTTTTCCTTTGATATAGAGCAACCCAAATGTCTCCATGTCCTGCCTACTTCTTAGGGGTTTTTTTGGTGAAGATTAAATGAGATGATGATAAACTTTTGAATATTTTAAAGAACTGGACATCTGTAACTCTTCACACCTTCTCACTTATTCTTACTCATTTAGCTTATACAATGGAGATAAGATTTTTAAAATAGGCTAAAATGTCCATAATGCTCTCTTAATCTGATATAAACATTTATGTAGTAGGTGGAATCATTTTCCCTCGAAATATTTTAAGAACTATTTACTACCTGTTTAGAGATCATACAATGTGAAGTCTGAGTGAGGAAACTGGATCAATATTTCCCACACTTTTGGATTTAATGGATCATAAAATTAATTACAATAATAATAATAAAGAAGAGATAAACACTAAGTGAACAATTTTATATTTCATTAAGAACATTAAAAACTTAAAAAGTCTTTATATCTTTATTTCATGAAAGTACTCTTTGACACCCAAAAAAATAGGAAGGACAAAGTATCAGAATAAATGACAAATCTTTAAAAATGCTTAATGACATTTTCATTTTTTCCCCTCATTTTACCATAGATGGGGACAATCTCAACACACATTGTTATCAAGCCTCAGACAATGACTGGGATCCTTTACAGACTGTCAGTAACTGCACAATTATCTAGCCTAGTTTTATTAAGTGACTGATATTTCGCAATATTAGCAAATTAAGTTATACAAATTAAATACTAGTTTTCTAGGAACTTATTTAAAACAATTGATATTTTTTTCACAAACAGCTAATAAACATATACACAATATTTACAAATCATTATGACAACTAACATTTAATAAGCCAAAGGGGAAAACATTAAATTCTATATGTTAAATATAATTTGCTAAGATGTGTAAACCGTAAACAAAAGTTTAGTAGGTATTCTGTCACCAAAAAGAACTTATATGGGAAAAACAAAGGATCAGAAGTCAAAATATGCAGCCCTGGTGAGTGACATGGAGCTTCACGCCTGATAAAAATGGAAGAGATACTTTAGGGAGGGAAGAGCAAGGGGGAGGGGCTGTTATAATCATAGAGCTCTATTATAAACAGAATTCTTCCCGTAGAGCTTTTCGAGGACATAGGGTATGAAAACTCCTCCTATAGGATCTCCCTTTTCCAGTCTAGATTAAGGTCTCTATCGTAATATTTGTCAGGTATATATAAGATTGTGTAATTGTAATTTATGGGCGGGAGAGGGGTGGTGGTGGTGGAATTCACTGACCTTTGTTTTATGAGCTGATATCCTTTTTTTATTTTTCCCCACATCAGCTAAATAGGCCTAAGTTTAGAATATCTATCTTTGAAATTACAGGTCAAAGTCACCACATTAAAGCACCCAATGAGGCTAAGCTTCAAGTATGTAGATGATACGTGTTGTAAAATATTTTTTGAAAGCCGCTAATTAAGTTGACCAAACGTACTGACACATCGACAAAGTAATTTTCTAAAAGGGTGTGAACAGAAAAAAAGAGGAGGCCCTGATCTAGATGTCTTGCTTGCAGGCCAGGGTAACTCAAATATAAACCCTTCTTTCACACAAACCATCTGGAATAGGATGAAACTTTACTTGAAAAGTGGTGGTGGGTGTACTATTTTGGGTTCCTTTACTGAGATTCCAAGAGGCTGAGCTGAGGCACGGTCTGGCCTTGCTCTATCAATTCTTCCACGTTCTTTCCGGAGAGACCAGTCTTAGATTTTCCCCTTCTTCTCCAAACACACACTGGGAGGCGGGCAGAGATTTTGGTTTCACCGACATTCCAAGTCGAAGGGAAGAGTGGGAAAGAAGTGGACTCCAGACTCGACTCAGTATGGGGTCTGTGAGGCTGCGTGGGCCCCGTCACGTGACTTGCGCATGCGCGTGCGTGTGCGCGCGCGCTGATTGCTGGGAACGTCGTGCGCCTCTCACCTCCCACTCCGCCCACGGAGGCTGCGCAGTCGAATTCGCCCAGCGTCTTTATTCCCGCGCTTTCGCTGACGAGGAACGTCCCGACAACACCAAGAAGTAGTCTGGTCTTGGGGTCGGGATGGAGGGGTGACTGCCTGTGAGAGTGGGAAAGAAGGCAGTGAGGGAGAATGGACTGTTTTTCTCGGGGTTTCTAGTGGGACGGAACCGCAAGTAGGGAGGAAAGAGCGGGGCGGGAAGTGAGAAACAAGGTAGGTGAAATGGCTTGAGGGCCTGAGGTGGTGTTGAGGAGAAAGAGAAAAGAGAAAGAGAAAAGAGAAAAGTTGTATAAGGCAAAGGAGTAGTGCTTGGTTATGACCAAGTCACCAAGGCCTTAGATTGTGTAGCTAGAGTCAATGCCTGTGAATGGTGTTTGTCACAGGACAGGGCTCAGTCTCCTGACCAGGCCTGGATTCATCTGACGCCCTGAGTTGTGACAGAAAAATTATTTTTTACAGAAACAGAATTACCTAATTATAAAAGTTATAATTTGACATATGTTCCCATGTAGTTAGTTTGAGAAAGGAGAGAAGAGATGGAAGAGAAAAGAGAAAGGAAAGGGGAGAAGAGAACAACTTTCATGTTGGCTTCTCTGCAACATTTTCAAACGTCCCAAGGCAAAGCGAGCACGACAGTGCATGTGTAATATTTTCTACATATCACTATTATGGCACTTAAACTTACGTACTAGAAAGGTACTGACCGAAATGTAGAGAAGCATTATACAGCATTTACTAAACAAAAGTCTTTATTTGTTGCTGCTGTTTTCTTTCATATATATAAAACATGTGACTAATCAAACATTCATTGAAGTTATCCTGGTCAGCATAGTTTCTCAAAACAAAACAAAACAAAACAAAAACGAGCTAAGTAAATCAATAACTTGAGTGTAGACAGGGCTCCCCATCTCTTAAGATGTAGAGACTTTACCATTCTAGGTTTCAACATTCTTTAAACTTAATTTTTCAGACTCAAGGAAATTATCTTCAGAATTTATGGGAAAGTAAAAGTAAAATTTGATGCTACATGAAAGTAAGATAGAACAGTGGAAATAACCTCAGGCTAGAAGAGATCTTAGTTCTAGTCTGGCCTAGTTTTATTTGTTTGAACTTGGTCAGCTATCTCTGTTCCTGTTTTTCATGTCTATAAAAAATGAAATTGACTTAAATGAACAATAAATCTATTTCAACGTTAAGATATTGTGGAAGTAGAAGAATCTTAAATGAATCCTGAAACAAATCAGAAGTGCCAAAGAGACTAGTTTGGCTAACTATACATAGAGGGGTAGATGAAAACATGGGACTGGTAGATTGGCCCCAGGTGATGCAGGACTTTGGATGGAATTTGAATTTATTCTGGAGCAATGAATAGTCAAAGGAAAGTTTTTGGTATAAGGGAATGCAGTAATTAAACTTTTGAAAGGTTAAGGGAATATAATAACCAGAGGTTTGAAAGACTGACCAAATAGTGGTTCATAGGATGAAATAGAGAAGGGAGAAATTGGGTAATTTAGATAAGTGACAGATAATGAGAGCCGAAATTTAAAATGGCAGTAGAAGTGGAAAGGGAAGGTTTTAAGAGATCTGTAGCATGGTGTTTGTACTTAAATTTGGCATTGCTCTAAAATTTGCAGCTCTTGCCTCCAGAATATGATGGCAAATCACCTTATAAAACCTGATACTAGAAATTACAAGAGACCAAGAGAGTTGGAGGTAATCTATATGCTCCCGGAGCCTTAATCTTTTGTTTTATTTTATATACTTCTCAAATTTATTCCATTTGAAAAAGTTCTGTTGATAAATGGAATTTAAATTTTCATATTTCCAGAGCTGGATTGTCGCAACTGGATCTATGTTGACTCCCGCAGCTTTTTTACTAAGTATATGGGAAAGCCTCCAAGAAAGATTTCTTGGAAGATTTCTTTGGGGTAATTTGTGATCTAGAGAAAAGATATCAAAAGCCATTATGATATCTAGGTCTCTAAATAATTATTTTGAAATAATAAGTAGGA